CAAATATATACTAATAAAAAAGATACACACTCAATGAAGCATATGGGAGGGTGTGTAAAGGTTATAAGTACGTATTATACCACACTGCAAAAAGGACCCAGTATCCACCAATTTTGCAGTCCAGTGGAACCAATCTTCCATCCATATCAAGAGACAAGTGCATTTCTTCACTGCCACAGATGCTGGTTTTGTTTGAAGTCAACTCCAGGGATTAGGATACAAGCAAGGGACTGATTTCTGGGAATGTGTGGGGCCAAGATCCCCAGCAGGAACAGGGGACTGAAGTTGCTAAGTCTATTTAGGTGTGAGCAAAGGTTTGAGGATTTGTCTATAGCAGAGGCTCTCAATCTTGCAGGAGCAGCAGAATCCCCATGATCCCTTCCCAGCTTCACATAAATCAAGGTGACCAGCAACCCCGCAATTCCTAAATGAGAATGTCCTGGCGGCAGTAGCCCTTACAGGTTTCTTTTACAAAATAGCAAAAAACCTGGCTCTGAAAGAAAACACAGAAATTATCTTCTGAGACATCAGCACCCTTGGGAAATGAGGTCCTAGCACTGCCCTAAGACCAGGTGCGCACAAAGATGGGGCATTAGTGCGAAGGCAGAGGTGAAAAGCCACCAACTGTGGTGGCACCAGGGGTGACTGTGCTCCTGACACACCTATGTTTACTTGAATAAAAGCAATTAGCTATTTAAATACTCCCTATAACATTCACATCACTCATAATTACCTGCTTTCAACACACAGCACATAGTTTCAAAGCTAAAGCTCATTTATATCTCAAAGTATCTGGAGAAGGAGATATAATCCAAAGTTGTCTAAGACTTTATGCCACAATAAAAAAGCTTAACACAGCATTGAGTAAAGGGTATTTTCGTCCTGCAAAATGGACTCTCCTTAGAAAATGTCTCCAAAACTCATTATGCATACACACACTAACAGAGTAATTTTCTGAGGAATCTGAGACAATTTCCTAGCAGAAAGGCATCTGATATACTGGAATACATCTCCATCAGAATAAATCACTTTCTTATCTCATTAATACGGCAAAATTGAAATATTAAAAGTTTGGTCAGACTGAGAATTCCTCAACAGGATAATACTTTGGAATTTTATATACTCTATAGATACTGATCATGAATTAAAAGAATAGCAACAGAAAGACTAATTGTCTGCACTGACAATTCGTTAAAAGTATGTCTAAATTGAAAATTATATACTTGCAGATGAGGAAAGTAGGTGGGGTTAATTTGCAAACTTCTATATTTTGTTTCACTTAACATTTTTCCAGCACTTTGTATGTCAGGTACTTACAAGTGCTTTAGGAATATTAATTTATTTAATTATTTTAATAACCCTGTGAGAAAGGACCTATTATAAATTCTATTTTTCTGGAAGCCCAGAGAAGTAACTTGTTGAAGGTTCCCAGCAACTAGGACCAAGGTCCCAATTCTAATGGCAGTTCTGCCTCAGGATCAGTGGTGGCAAATCTATGGCCCATGTGCCACAGTGAGTGGTTTAGAAAGGTTTGTCATCACTGATTCAATCTCCTTTTACCTTCTTCCTAAAAGAATCTGAGGACAGAACCAAAAGGACTCTCTATAAGTCAACTTTTTTAAGGTACAAGAAAAGTAGTTTTCCTTCCCACTCGCTAAGAATAAATCTAAGAAAGAAGTTTCATGTAACTTGAGCAAGTCTCCCTTTAACTGCATGTTAAGAAGTCTCACTAGATCCTGGGGAATCTCCTCTCCATTTTTCCAGAATTTTCAACCATCTCTCCATACCTAGTTCTATTTTATTCTCCATTTTTTACTTTCATGGCTTAACTCTTCCTGTTGCCTCTGGTCTCAGCCAGCCTAGATTCCTAAAGTTTCTAAAACAAACTGTTGTCTTGCTGATGTGACCTGGTCTTTTGACATCAGGGCTTTATTTTCTGGATAAAAGCCTTGGACTTGGACTACTGCATGAAGTGCTTGCCTACTGTTCCTGCAAATTCATTAACCTAGTGCAAACACGGCACACAGTAGGTCTTGAAGTGGTTTTCATGGACCTTTGACTTGAGCCACATTGAGCTGTTGGCCATTTAATCCCCTTTGATATTTCTCTTCTGGGATTTCCTCCTCTGCTCCCAGCCCCAAGTCAGTTTGTATCAACAATGATCACAAATGATCACTTTGACAAATCTGATGCCTCCTTCAAAGCCCAATTCATTCATGGTTTCCTCTCTCACCTCAAGGATGGGCTTCAAGCCTTCTCATGATCCACTTATAGCCACATCGTCTCCTACCCTTCACGCTAGTGATCTGCACTCACTAACCTGTCCTCTACCTCTGTAGGCACAGCAATATTCAGCATGATCTGCAGACCAGCATCAGCATGGCATGGACCCCTTTGATTCTCAAACCTCACCTCAGACCCAGCAAGTCAGAACTTCTAGGGGTGCTGCCCTACCTCCTGGGCTTCTTCTGCCTGAGACCACAGAGCAGCAGCATAGTGGACCAGAAGTTCCATGATCACATCTTACAGTCTCTTATAACTTCCCTCTAACTCTGCATGGAATGAACCTAAGGATCCATGAAAGATCAATGAGTTAACGAATGTGGGTTAATCCTTTGAATGATCCATTAAACCTCCATGTCTCTAGAAAGCTAAATTATGCAGCAGATACTATAAATATCCTTAGGCCCATTAATGCCTTTCAATATTCTTAAAATTGGATTTTTCTTTAATAGTGACAATCTACAAGCATGACAACTTTTAATTTTGAACTGGTTAAGGCTCAGTGCATTGTTTCATTGCTTTAACGAGGAATGCTGAAATAATCCAATGTTTAGAACTATTTAAGACAAGCACAAAAATGAGAATTCCGTAAGATACATAAATGTCTCAAAAGTGCATTCTACAGGATAGCAGAGATGGTACCCTCTGCTTCAAGATCTGAAGTACTAGAGCTCCCTTAAATAGTCATTATCTTTCTCTTGAATACTTATCAACAATAGTAGCTCAAGAAAGGAAATGAAAACTGTAAACCCCCATAAGGATTACTACGCATCACAATCTTAAAAGTCCTCACGCAATATAGTGCTCACGGAGTTGCCATAACCTTTTCCTGTTAAAATTAAAAAGGACATGGTAGAGGTAGAAATGGTTTCAGTCCTCTGCAATAACAGTAACTTTTAACACATACCCATCTTAGGCACTAATAAGATCTTAAAGGGAAATAAGTAACTGAAGAGTAAACTAATATTAAAGAGCTAGCAGTGGTAATTAATTATATCTTAGTATATTCAGACATTTAAATGACAGATTGTGAAAGATGAGATTATTTTTATGTGAGTTGTTTTAACCATCTTCTGAGACTGGGGCCTTCTGAGATGGTAGCCTGTAATCTAACATCTACTCCCAGGTATGGTGGTACTTGCCTGTAATCCTAGCACTCCTGAAGGCTGAGGCAGGAGGGACTGTAAATGAAAGTGAAACCTGGGCAATTCCAGTCAGCAAGACTACTTCAAAGTACAATAAAGACGGGTGTGGACACAGTTCCCTTGGGCCTGTGTTAGACCCTCACTACTGGAGGAATCAGTAGGTTACCTTAGTAAAACTGCTATCCTCTGGGCATTTAAATGCAAAATGATTATGAGCACAGAGTTTGCATAAACAGGAACTCCACACCATCATACTCCCCTCCACTCCCAGAAGGCTTAGTAACAGACACTGTGACACATATACCCATTCTTCAGGTATCTATTTGTAGTCCTGGAGTCTTACACTGCCACAAGGTTGATGGTGGCCTACAGCTCCTTCAAAAATATTTTCATCCCGCCTACCTGGAAATTTCTTGATTTGAGGACATTTTCACCAGTGTTGCTTAGGGAAAGAAATGAGAAAATTTTATTTTTGGAAAATTTCTCCAGTGTTAGTTGTGGTAGAATATATATTCTCAGATTTAGAGGGTAAGGCAAGTACAGGGCACAGAAAGAAGCTGATGAGTCTGTAATAGGGTAAATGTCTTAATTAGCAATCAAGCGCACCCATGTTCCCATGTTATACTGAAGCCCCCATGGCACGGCACTTGCAGCCTTGCCCCAGAGCACTGGCTTGTTTCAGACATGCTTTCCAACTTCATTTCCTCCCAAGTTTCCCAGGCAAGGCAGTCAACTGGGAAAAGAGTAACTCAGGGAGAGTGGATCTTGGGGGTGGGGGTAGATTCTCAGTTGACTTGGGATAATAAAAACAAACAAATGTAAACTAAGTTTAAATAGTGACATAGAGGAGATAACAGCAGAAAACTCTGAGATTAAAATTTTTGCGATTCAGGCTGTAACTGGGACTAAATGACAGTGAGGAGCTATAGTTCCCTTATTGTCTGGAGTAACACCAAAAACCTGCAGAAGGTGAATCCTGAGCAGATGTGGTTAAACAAATGCAGAGTTCACAATTACTAGAAAACCATAAGAAAACAGCAGGAAAAAAAGTGTGTGTGTGTAATTATGAGTACGCAAGTTACATAGAAAGATACTTGACATGGGAACCAGCAGAAAAATACTTAGTACATAACTATATTAGAAATTCTTATATGGCATTTTATCTTTTATTCCTAGATCTAAGCTACTGTAACACTGCAGGAAGCAGCAGCACTGGTCACATTAGAAGCCAGACTTTGTTCAATACAAGATCCCCTTCATACAGGGCAACCTAGATCTGTAACTATAGCATCTGAATGCCAGACATCCAAGAGTCCTTAACAGCAATACAAATGACACAAATGCATCCACTCACCCCTTCCCAGTAACAGTCAGACTCTGAACAATGCACTGATAAACATGTCCATCTTCTATTAAACATGTCCATCTTCTATTACGCATCTGCCTCAAATTTTTACGTCTTTAGGAATCAAAGGTATTTGAACACTTAGCAAACAAAACTCCTTGAAAAACTATCTCTATAAAACACACTGCCAGAATGAATGTTTTGTTATTTCAAGAGAGTGACAAAAATGGTAAACAAATCTATGAAGTTTTATTTTATTTGCATTTAACATGATTATACACATTCATGTGTCTAACAAGATCTGCACTGTTACATTAAAAATACAGTACAATAACATTCAACATGAGGTACTTCATATTTATATATTTTCCTTCATAAATAATGCTGTAAGCTGCTAAAGTCAAGCACTCTGATGCACAAGTGGCTACAGTGTCTTGAATTAGCTGAGTTTATATAAACACTTAAAAAAAAAGGACAACAGTTCAGTGCAATAATCATGGAAAAATTAGATCATTTAAATACTACTTTAAGATAAGCTTAAAGAATGTTACATTAGAACTGCTAGCCTAGTTACCCTTATTCCCCAGTATGAACAACAAAGACTGCCGGATACATTGGGAAAAGCATCTAAGCATATTTATTCTGTGTAATAAAGTTGTATTTATACATTAGAGTTGCTTGCCTTGTCAGAACAATGGTTTCTACTTTTAAAAACTACAAAAATTCAAAATTACCAAAAAAACAAAAACGACAAAGCCAAAGCAAGCACATTAGCTTTTCATTCCATTTTGCTGAAAATGAAGAAAGGAGAATAGGGTTCAAAATATAAAATGTCTTACTCTACTACAACTTGCAAATTGTACCCACAGCTCTTGGCACAGGCCAATCTGATGGTGGATGGAGGAGTGATTGGTGTAAAATTAGGTGGAAAGAGGAGTGTATGGACCTCAGGTGGCTCTACCCAGCGGGCTGCCAGCTCCATGGAGGGCAGGCAGCTCAGCAGCTTGAGCACCACAGCCAGCAGGGCACAGGTGCCCCCCACCCTAAGGCTTTCCCACCCACCTCACCCACGGGGCAGGATGGAGCCAGTGCTCACATTTCTTCTCTGGCTGTGAACAGTGCCTTCTCCTCAGGACCACCAATTTGCACGGTAGTGCTGAGTTACTGAAATGTTTAACCATAACTTTAAAACAAAATCTCTGAAGAAGCATTTTTAATTGAAAATGTGCCTCTATTTCATAGATGCTTTGCCAAAACTACCTGTAATCTCCCTAATAACAGATAACTATTCACAGATGTAGATAATGGCAAACATGACTGAAGCTTCCGATAATCCAGTGTTCTCCATGGGGCAGCTGGCCAAAGGCAAGGAGCCCCAGACTCTGGGGAAGGAGGCCCAGAAGCACAGTGAGGAAGGGCAGTCATTCCTTGGGCCTTTCTGGGGCCAGCGGGGGACCATTCCTGTCCCGCCTCTCATCAGCCAGGCGGGGAGGAGGCGATTCCTGAGTCGGCCATCTCACTCGCATGCGCAAGGGAGCGCAGGCACGCACACACCCCAGGACTAACCCCTGGCTCTGGACAAGCCAGTTTCGGGCTTGGAGCAGGAGAAGGAGGTGGCCAGGGACCACACTCTAGGTGGTGGGGGAAGCCATCTCAGGACCACACCGAGCACAAAAGCTGCCCAGAAACACATGGATTCTTCACCTGGCAGTGACATACTGCACACTGCAGGATCACTGGACACTGCAGGATCACAAGCAGTGACATACTGGACACTGCAGGATCACGAGCCATTGTTGAAGGAGAATTTCTAAAGAGCACTTCCTTCCTTTGCTTACATTATCCATGGGTAAACGAAAGAGCTGGAGTAATGCTGATGCAGTGAATAGTAGGCATAATCAAGTGTGTCACTCAAAAACCCTGCAGGCATATATTGGCACTTTAAGATGGCCAGAGGCCAGATTCTAGCAGTCCAACAAGACAGAACTATAATCAACAATAAGATCGCAGAATGGTCAAAGATCAAGTAAAGTACATTTCAGATTAAAAACAATGAATGAACTACTTATCACATTAACATGTAGTGCTACAAAACTGATACCCCCTTCCTCTAAAGATCGTTTGGTCCTCTTTTAATGGGCAGAAAGAGAAAAGAAATTTTATACAATATGACATACAAAAGCAAGTAGACAGCCAGGATCCAAAGCTACATGGCAAAAAAAGTGTTTGGCTTTTTCAAACTGTATGCTCTTTGTGGTATAGAACTTCTTTAGGCTTCTTTTAAAACTGCTTTAGTGTAAATTAGTAAGCCTGGAGTTTTTTTCTAGTGATAATAAAATTTTATAATTGCATTATTTCTGAAAGAAGCATGCTCTATGGTGATATCTTGTTTTCTAAACAAAATAAATTCATTCTGGCCTAATACCCAATTTCTTATTTTATACTGACTTTGAATTGTTTAATAAGTAACATTCTTATGAGTTTAGGATTTAAGAAAGTAAAGTCCAGAATCAACAAATTTAAAAGGAATAAAGAGCTAAATATGACTACTGCTTACTTTCTAAATTATTACTTATTACAAACCAAAGCATCTTCTAAAATTGTAGAGAGGTTTATCTTCTTTTAAGGGGCCAGAGCTTCTGTTTAAAAATACCTCTTGATGTTATTATTTTAGATCATTTTTACTCATCAAATAAAATCCAAAAGGAAATTCGAGGTGATCCCAAACTTTCTTCAGAGGGACAAACTGGGAGGTCGGCAGGGCACCTGGAAGAGCATAAGGTCTTGCTCAGGCGTACAGATGCAACATGAAAGACCACAAAGCCTTAAAAGAACTTGGCTCTTACGTGTATATTAAAAGCAGAATGCTGCATCTTAGCCTGTACGTAAGTAAAAGCTTAAAAGAAATTAGAAATTGCCTACTGCTTCGTTCGTTACAAATTGCCTGTGCTGATCGCTTATCTGCAGACGAGCTAAGCATTAAGCAAGGAGGGACCAGATATGCACCTCGGGTTTGCACTGTTTGGGGAGGCAAAGTTTCAAGCATAGAATATGAGTTCAGGGATCTGACCTCCCTGTACACCAGTGCCATTTGTGCTATCTGAGGAGCACTGAAACTGGACAGTCACTTTGCCACACTGAACTTCTGTCATGCCTTCTTGTCCGAAGTAGCTGAGTTCGTTGCCGTCCAGGATCACACTGGCTGTGTAGAAGGTGTCTGGCTCTATCTGCACTGGGTACTCAAACCACACGGGGAAGGTATTGCTGGACCCATCTGAAAAGTACTTGCTCAGGTTCTGCCCCAGGACGACCCCCTGCCGCTTGAGTTCAATCTTGGCGCTATACTCTGCAGAGCCACAGCTGGAGCCATACAGCCCAAAGCCTGCAATGAACACTCTCTTGTCAACTGCAAACTGGATGCTGTCACAGCGGCCTCGATAGCGCCACTGGTTGCTCCGATAGGCACAAGACTGAAAACGGTGACAGCGCTGGGGAACAAGACCCTTGCGGGCTTTACTCACAAACTGCAGCTCAGGCTTTTTGGCTGCAGTGTACCAGAGGAAAATGTCATTGGTCTCATTGAGAGTTAATACTCCAGACTGGGCAGCACCATTTGCAAAGTCATCCAGGGCCATTGTGGGTATGCGGATCAAGTAAAGTGCCTTTCCTAGGACCTTGCGTTTATTTTCAATGCTTGAGGCTAGATCTTGTCGCTGGCATTCTACTTCAGCCCAGTTGAGAGCTGCCTCAAAAACAACAATTTCTTTGGCATTCAGAGTTTCCCTGCGGAGGATACTTTCTAGCGTCTGGAAGTCGATGTCACAGAACCCCTCAGACTTGAGAGCTAACTCGGCCTGGGCATCGATCACCTCCCAGCAGCGCTGGGTCAGGTCTGGTTCTTCAAATAGGCAGCTCTGTGAGAGCAGTACGCAGGCGTTCTTGGCACTCAGGCTGGTCTCCAGGAAATTCACACAGGCACGGGCAAGGTGAGGGACAATGTATTTCTTGGCAGCATACAGTGTGGCCAGCACTGTGTCAGCAGCCAGGTCAATTTCATCACAATAGATATACCTGCAACGAAACACACAACACATAATAGGCCTCACAGAAAACAAGTAGCAAGCAAAGACACTGCTTGTAAGTTTGATCCACATCATCTAGAGTGTTACCATAAAATGTTTCTAAGGAAATATACAAAATATATTCATAAATTACATATCAACTCAGTAGTAAGTCTGCATGATGAAAAGCATTAACTAGGTTTTACAATAGTTCTAGCCTCTCAACAAAAATGGCATATAATACAACAATGTCAAAAAGTACTGCCCAGCACACATAGGTAAGAATAGAGAAAAAAACAGCAAAATACAATCACAGGTACTTTATCAATTTAGAGAACAGTAAAGGACAATGTGCATCAATACCTGTATCTGTATGGATATGTTTTTATAGTTTTTTTCTGTATTCAAATAAAAACAAATGCCCCTAATATGTCAACATTAATTGCATCTTAATGGCTTTGGATTTTTTCCTAAATATAAAGTAAAACCTGACATTAAACATTTTTCAAGTAGTTCCAAGTTAATAAATGATCAAATATGATTACTGATATTATCTTCCAGGTAATTTTATATAGAATCCATACTTTGTATCTGTCTTTCAAACTCTAAACTTCTAGGCTCTTTCTCCCTACACATTTATTCTAGCTTCTATAAGAATACATTATTTCTAGATATAGTAATTAAAATATAAAGCAAGAAAGCTTAAATGCTAAAGTTCTGTGCTTTGGTCAACCTTGCTGATCTCGGGAGATGAAACACCACTTGACCCTGTGGGGGATGATGGTGACCTCCCCGAAGGCAATGCAAAGGAACAAGTGGCCTGCTTCTTGCACACTGCTGTGGCTGGCCTAAGAAAGGTAGTGACAATTACAACTGAAAAGGCAATCGCATTTAACTTTTAAATCTTTCTAGAGAAAGCATATATATTATTACTTTATTTTCTTTTAGTAAAACAGGTATCACTTAAAAAATTAGCAACAACTTCTTCAATTATAGTACAGAAGTACAAGTATAAGAAGAAGAAAAATGTGCAAAACTGCAAAGGGACTCATTTCTTCCTTCTGTTTCCAGGTGGTCTCCTCTTCCGTGACAGGCTAAGCAGGGTCACCTGACAGTACAGCTGTAGCTTAAGTTAGGCTTCTGTTTTGGAAGGGTGAAGATGGGACAACCTCCAGGTCAGTACTTAGGGGTACTTTCACTGGAGCTGTCGGGGAGCAGATACCCCTTTTCATGACAACTCCTTTTCCTGGAACACTGGCTACTCACTCACAATGTCTGAGAATATTCAGGAGAATAAACCTGGTTGCTACTAACTTAGCTATAGCATGGCAATAAATGGCCTCTTACTGCATTTCTGATTCTCAGCACTGTACATCGACTGAATGTATACTTGTGAAAAGCTTTATTAATATAAATATATGCACTAGGCAACACATCTGCAAAATGACACTTAATAAATATTCAATCAAATGGCCTAATTAAGATGTAACTCGGCTGTTCTTGCTCTGTTTCCTAATTATGCACATGTCCATAACAACTACTTTTCTGCAGTGAGGTCAAAATGCTTAACTGGTACTGCATTCTTCTCAGTAACAGAGAACACTATCAAATACAAGTTAACTTCCACTGGGATGTGGGAAGGGGCGCTTGCAGGTAAAATTGGTTTCTGTACACGTATCTCTACACATCGCAAAGGTTAAAAATGGTAGATTCCATTCTGATGCTTCCTATATTCACTTCCCCTTTAATTTTCCTGCCTTCCACTGTACAAGTTTCAGTCAGCAGCAATTCAATTTCAAAGTTATAAAATGAGTAAAGAAGACTTTTAAGCTCTGGAACTAACGGTAATGTATTTTTCCATAGGCAATAAATTCCATGGCAGCATTTTAACCTCTGTGGGAGTACTGTCCAACTTGTTGACTCAACAGATAATTTTTCAATAAATATTATATTTAAGCCAATGAAGTAAAATTCCAGAATAGCAGGTAACCTTGAATTCACAAAAATGCAGATTTTTATTTTAAAAAGCATTATTTAAAATGACATTTTAATCATTTGGAGGACTATCACATTGTCCAGCATCTGTACATGACAAAGACGATTTTATGTACATGGTTAATACATATGTATTGGAGTATGCCTCAAGCTACTAGATATGAAACTATTTTTATAAATATGGGGCATATTTTATACTTTTATGTCAGCTAAAGTTTTTCCATACAAACCCATGTTAAACTATAGGAAATTATCTACACCTTTCAAGAATTTTTCCTCTAATAACAAATACAAATGCTTCTTATCTCAATGGTGTCTGAGTTTATGTAAGAGGATGGATATGTGTGTGCACAAAGTTCAGGTTATTTCAACAAATAGTAAGCTCTGTAACTGTTGCTAGAAAATAACTCTTAGAAAACTCAAAAATCTCTGAATTAGTGTCATTGAAATAGGTATGCAATTTCTAGAATTGCAAAATAAAAAGTATTTAAAGTCTTTTTCACACACACTGGTTTCAGACAGAAGATGCTTTATTAAACAATGCTAACACCAGAAGGGTATTTCTATTTTTTTTCATTATAATTTATTAAAAACCAAATTGCTAAGGATGCCACTTGCACCCAAAGCCTATGCAAAGCTGTGGTTGTAAATGCTTGCACTGTTCCACACTTTTCACTGACAAACAGTTTTCTCTAAAAACATTTACAAGGTAGCAGCACCCTCTCTCTTCATGCATCTCCTTTTCTGTTACGCAGAACTTACACTTAACTCTGAAGCCAGTAGAGTAAAATACAGCATAAACAAAACTCTTTCCAAACACATGAATAATGCTTACTTCAGCATAGCGAGAAAAGCAGCAGGTTCGACATCTGGTATACGGATCTCATCTTTGTCCTCAGCAAGTTCTCCGTAAAACATCGCATGGAACACAGAGCTCCCAACAGCTAAGACATACTGTAGAGAAAGGCAAATCTTATTTCATGCACTAAATTGAATGTGTTTTCTGCAAATCAATTCAGAAAAACAACTCTGAGCAATCAGGTTTAGTAGGGCTGGGAATACCAAAGCTGTTGTCTGAAAAAGCCAAGGTACAAGGTATTCTGACAGGGAAGCATCACATAAAGGTTTCTCTACTAATTATCTTAAAGATCTGAGAGATTACAGGCCAGCCCCCTCATTGTGAAATAAATAAAAGCTTATCTAACTGATTTGTAGGAGAAAGATAAATATCTGACTTTTCCAACCTGCCACAACAACTTCCCAGGACTACAGAGATAAGAGGACATGCATATTTTGGGGGAAGATAGGAAACAAAGAAAAATTCAGTGTGGCCAAAGCCCCTTGGACAGATATGCTTTCTCTGTAACTGGGTGAAACACATGCTGCCTGGTGGCGGCAAGCTGCCCACACTAAGTTTCAGGCTCACAGAGAGGGTCCCTCTTTGTAGGACTAAAACAGTAATGCAGCTGTTGCTTACTTTGTGTCCTGGCAACCGCTGAGTCCCACCTGGTGGCCCAACCACAAAATGTACATCTGCCATCAAATCATTATTGAACATCACCGCATTTCTATAAACAGAGGCAATTCATTAATTAGTAGCAACCAGCATTCTTGACACTTCCTTTCCCAACATAGAAAATTCACAAAATACTCAAAGCTAAACAACAGTTTAGTAAGTTCAAGGCAGAACAACAAATGAAGGTTTTTAACTAAACAACTGTGTTTGTAATCACTGCAAACACATGGAAAGTAACTCAAGTTTAAAAAAAGTTACACGAACTTTTCATAAAGCCTAGAACAAATAAAAGGTTTCTGTCTGCTATGGCCCATACACACAGCCCTGCCGGCCTGTCACTTCAATGTTACAGCTTGCAGAAATATTTTTATCTAGGAGGAAAACAGCTGTAGTGTTTTGGAAAAGATACAAGGCAGTTTTCCATTACCAATAAAGCTTCTGGGAAAAAAGGAAGCCCAGATTTGAGTTAAAATACATTACAGGTTTTACAAAAGCAGAAACTTCAACACAGGAAAACTTTTTAAGTAAACAGGCTGGGCCGGCACTTACCTTTCTCTAATGGTGGGGTAGAGACCTTGCCAATTTGGGGCCGGGATGAGGTTGTTGTTACTCAGATTCTGCTGGTGGTACTGCTGGACAGTGGTGCTGCTGGAGTTGGCTGGCTTTTTGCGAGGGAATATATCAGCAGCCATCTTCTTCTTCTTCTTGGTCTTCAAGGTAATTATTTCATAACAAACTGGGGGTAACTTGCTGCCGCCGCCGCTGCTGCTGCTGCTGCTGCTGCTATTGCTGCTGCTAGGATTTGTTTTCTTCGAGCTTTTCTTGGACCTATTCTTTACCGTCTCTGGAAGCATCAAGAAGAAGGTAAGACATTTCATGTTCTTTTCCTTGTCATCTACCATGAGTACAGTATGTCTCTCTTTAGAGCTAGATATCCCAAACTGGTCCGAAAATCAAGCAAAAGAGGCTAGCTGGAGCTGAGATGTTAACAGAAAACAAGCTGTTATTTTGCTTCTTTTCTCAGCCAGGCAAGGTGACCTTTTCACTATGTTGAATAGAAACTGGCTTTAAGTTTTATCCAGTACTGGGTCTGTTAAATACATCCCCATCATGATTCCTTTTTCTCTTATTTGCACATGAAAATAAGAGTCTTGAAGATCACCTGCAAATGCTACACTGAGAGAAGACGACAGGCACAGAGCTGTGGCACTTGCTCTCTGAATTAGGTTAGAAGATGTGCTGGAGCCCAGTGAGTCTGTTCAGCCGGCTGAAGTTGTGTGGTGAATGGATCGGAGGAGAGTAGGTATTACAGCCCTGCAGATGGAGTGAGACAGCCAGCGCTCCGAGCCAATAGCTGAAGTCACCAATCATGATTGGACCAAGCAAAACAGTGACACCTATTGTAACGTGCAGAGTTCTGATATTAAAGGAACAGCAGTTGCATTCTCCTGTCTACTGTATATTTAAGTAAGATAAACAACATATGAAATAGATTTGAAAACAGGAAGGGAGGAGTTTACACTCACAGGTTCTCTCTAGGAGACATACGTTTTTATTTTTGCTTGCTCGGCTAAACAAGCAGGGCCAATTAACAAAGAATAGGAACAGTCACCTATGTATTTCTGATAAAATCTTTTCCCTTGCAGCATTTAGTTTCAAGTATTTCTAACAAAATCCTGTAGTCTGTAAACTAAAAGACAGTAATATCAGCAAAACCAACACTGCACATATTTGTTACAGCTTAAAGAGAAGAGACGCTGTTTTTCCCCCCCTTTTTTTTTTCTTTTTCAGTCTCTTTGAATGTAAGTTACACTCTAGTACCGTGTGTGTGTGTGGGGGGGAACTAAACGTTTTCTGTCTCCTATAATGATCTTTCACAAGAATTCCAATCATAAAACACCGTTAATTAGGATAAGATTATACCAGTATACTTAGCTGCACTGAAGCATAAGACAAATTCTCAATGCAAAAATAACATTCAAATGAGACAAATCTGGTAATCAGTGTTTAAAGGCTGTAATTCACTAAAAATATGTCAGATGAGGCCCTGTCTAGGATCTCAAAATCCAACTTAACTGTTATAGCTATGTTTAATCTTATTATAATTTTAAAGATGATAATCCACTATTTCTAACATAGAATCAATAAGACTATTTAAAGTGATAAATATCTGATGCTGCCTAGTTAAATTGCAAACAGGTTCTCTCTGCTTTGGATAAAAATAAAAGCTAGTATATGGTTTTCATAGATGTGAATCCAACAATTTCTAATTAAAAACAAAACAAAAACACCTGCTGTAGGTTCTACACATGTTTGTTTATTTGTAAAAAGGGACTAATGAAGAGATTTAATCTCACGTCCACCATTTGTATTACTCTCATTTGTTCCAAGGGCAGCAGTCACTAATCTAATATATCCATCAGGAACACAACCCTGCTTATTATACAATGTCCATCTGAATAATGACTGCCTGACAAAGTGAGGGGCTTAGTAAAGAAGAATATGATTGTTACTGTAATCAATAACTGAGTAAGGACAGCAAGTACCAGAAATCAGTCTTTAAATCCCTAGCATCCTAAACCACTAAATTGAACCAAGGAGTTGTCATTGTTATTATTATTCAAAGCCACTGCAAAAAAGAACCGGTCTTCAGCACAAGGTCACCACTGTGGTTCTGGACACCTCCCACCCCTGCAATGCTTACTACAGATCCTGAGTGACCAATTGCAGAGCTAAGAAAGACATCATGCACCCACACACACACACACACACACACACACTTGCATGTCACCTTCAAACACACTTTTCATGCATAAACTTGGACAAAGCTAGAAAACCAGTCTAAAAAGTACCTGGAAAAAGCCATGAAGAACAAATAAGTAGGCTCCTATTTGATATCTATGCAGAAGACGGTTAAAACCAAACATTTCACTCCTCCACTTCTACTCAACTGCATGATCACGCCCATCCTAGGAGGACACCCACTTCAGGCAGGCCCACCTAAGTATTTTTAACACATCTAACATTATCTAGCTTTGGTGGTCAGAAGTAAGCAGACCAGAAAGGGAAACCAGCAGGTTTGAGACAAATGTATTAATATTACCTGCTAACAAAGTGAGACAAAATAGAAAGACCATAAAGGAACAACAGAGAAAGTTCTGTGGACTTTATTCATTTTACATATAGGTCAATACTCATCAAAAAGAAAGGCTCCAAGCAACATGAAGCTTAAAATCATTAAGCTGAAGTGGAAAAGTGCATGTAACTGTTTGAGAAAGCTTTCTGCATTAAAGACTCAAGTTACTTTAAAAATTGTAAGAAAAGTTAAACAATGCTAATTAAGCAGCCATATTTTGGATCAGAAACTGGACAAGACTATTCATGATCTGTATGGAATTCAAGTTTGAAAAAAACCTCAGAAGCAAATGAAGACTGTTAAAAGTGTTTTACCAAAGATCTTATATCACTTGCTAACACATTTTACATTCAACTCTCAAATAAAGGAGCAAAAAATTCAAAATACTTTGCTCTACACAAAAATTTAAGCCCTCATATCTTGTTCTGAAATTCTTCTGATCAAATGTCAAAATTGAAGGATTCAGGTGTACAACCCCATGAGAGCCCAAGATACATGTCCATTCTCTGGAAAAGTAGCACAAGATGATAACATATGATTTTAGTGAGAAAAGTAAAGGATTAAAAAATGGCAGTGGTGAAGCTATTGAGACACTTAATGCTTTAAATAATGTATTTCACAGTTCTATTTCAAAAAACTAGCAAGGCAGCACAAAAGCACCATGCAATCAGCAATCAAGTAATGCGGTTCAGTCCTGGTTGGGCAACTTAAAATGGGGAGGGAGATTTAAACAAACCATTTAGCCTTTCTGGGCTTCGGCTTCCTCAGTTATAAAAATGAAGAGACTCATCTATAATAGATGTATATTTCTCAAACTTTATGTCCAATCTACAGTAAAAAGTACATTTTATATTCTGACTCAATACTAACTCACACAGAATACAAGTGGAAGGGTTCACAAAACTTCCTCTGATATCTTCTAGTTTATTTTTTTTTTGTTTTTCATTCTAATGTTGGACTAACACTAGTCTGTATTATTTCGAGGGACACTTAAGGTTTAACAGATAGGGTTCGTACCTTCCTTTTTTTCCTCTTTTTTGTTCTCGTTCCTGAATCCTAAGGAAAAAGATGTAAAGTGTGACTAAATTGCTAAGTCCAGGCTTCCTTATCAAGACTTTCAACGAGGGAATGCCAGATGAAAAAGGCAAGACTCCAACAACTTAATGAAACATCTAAAAAACATCAGCTTGTATGTACAATCGGCAGTATGCAATATTTTTCTAGAGAGAATAATAATATATTTCATTTGCCTTTTTGAATAATCTACGAGATGTAGAATAAATCTAGCTCTGATTTGAATATATAAAATTTTATTATCACTTTGTTTTCTGTTTTCATTTCTATAGTCTACTATAATAAATTCAAGTTATGACTGCTTTATTTCCAATTAAATACATATGAACAGTGAAAATCTCATCTATTCAGTATGTAACCTGGGCCTATCATTTACTGGATTCAAAGGTATTGCAGGCTAACAGCTCCATATCAACTGTTAAACTGCATCTCTAAAATTTCTTTCCAACTAGTATTCTATCACTTGTTCCTACACTTCCTATATTTTATAGCTACTTCCAAGACAGAGTGAATCTGTTCGAATGACACAGGTCAAGAAGTCCATCAATATTCAAACAAAGTATCTTATAATGGACCAGGCTGATCATACGTATATCAAGTCTTCGGAAAGATCAGGAAATAAGCTTTTACAAGAGCTAACAATAGTGGATTTCAATTGAGTTTATTTTATTGTATATTTACCCAGAGCCTTCAAACTGAGTATATCCATCGCAATTTTGTTGTTGTTGTTTTTGAGACAAAGGCCTGCTAATTTGCCCAGGCTGGCCTCAAATTTCTGATCCTCCCGCCATACAGTCTTCAGAGTAGTTGGGATTACATATGTGCACCACCACACCCAGCTCAGTTGAGTTATGACAAACATGAACCCCTATTATCTATTTTCATTAAATTACCAATTAATGACAAAATTACTAACACAATTTCAGCTCACTTAGATCATACTTTTCACCACTGGAGAAGTTACAGCCTCTTATCTTTAGTACCACCTTACACATTTAGTTTGGGGATCTCATTAAGGTTTGGAACTGAAAGGGACACTTGTCAAATAAGACAACTGGCTACTCAAAGCTGAAGAGGGCTGTGAGGAGTCCAGGGTTAATCAGGGCAACACCTGGACTGCCAGGCAGCTCTGTTGCCTTGTGCTGTTCATACCACTCACTTTGCTTTTTACCCACTACAATGACCTCTACTCAGGTCTAATCTAATGTAAAAGAAAAAATATACGTAAAGGATACAAAGCTGAAAACCATGAACAGGACACCCCTACAGGGGGAGCCTACAGGAAGGAATGCTGAATGGTTACTGTCTGGACACAAACAGGAAGGAACTGCTATAGGAAGCCCAGCCCTGAGCAAGCTGCTCAAAACAGAAGAGGCTCTCCAAGTGAAAGGACAGCTAGAAAACCAGCCAGCCAAGGGTACAGCACCTTCTAGGGCCACAGCTAACAATTCCAGCCACTCTTGCTTAACCTGCTCTAACTCTGCACTCTCCTTGTCTGGACTTGCACTGGCTTTACTACAGGTGACCTCAAAAGCAAAGGCTGTGAGGTGAGCTGAGTTTTAAACAGGGCAAGGCAGACCAAAACAGTATTTACCACTCCAAAACTGGTCTATAAAATGTGACAGGAAAATAGTTTAATCTGAGAAGTCATGATGCTTAATTTTTCCTTTCAATGCAGAGCAAAAGTTACACTTGTGAGCTAGGAGGTAAAAAGATAAGCAACAAAATGTTGGCAGTTCCTAAAGATAGCAACAGCTGCTAGAAAACTACTACATGCTTTCTAAATTTGGAGATAAATATGGAGTCCTCAGTGGCAGCATGCAGAGTTTAAAAAACAAAGCGCTGAAAACAAGTGACCTTTAGGTTGGGTACTTAGTACTTGTGAGCCTCGTTTTCCACATCTGCCAAATGGGATAATTAAACCCAGCTCACCCCCACCCCTCAGGTTTATTGTGAAGGCAAAATTACATGTTTGTGAAAGCACTCTGATAAAAGTTGAAAACATGCTACAAAGGGAAACCTTATTAGTCCCACTGGTATTCAAGCAATAAATGTTATCTTCAACCAACTAAAACTCAAAACCCAAAGATCAAGCTGGTCCCCACATTCCTATACCCTGTCTCAGTCAGCATAATTTCTGACATTTCCTCCCTCCTTTTAGAACTGCTCTACTCACCCCACTTTGTG